ACTGAAAACAATACAAAACAAGGAACTCCCTGGAAGCCTCCTATTGCTGTCGAATAGGGCTTGGTCTCCACCTATAAAAATATATACCTACAAAGTTCAGTTTAATCTATTAAAAAACAAAACAAAACCTAAACAAACTAACCAAAGAAAAAAATACAACAAAACTTGCCATTTTTGTGAATGTCAGTGTTTTCCAACAAGAAAATGATGCTTTACCTGGATCAAAAGCATTGAAAGGACGGACCCAATTTAAACTGCTATGAAGAGATAGCATTATGCTTTTCACTAGCATTGTTTATTATCGGGTAGGTTAAATGTTCACATTTAGCACTATTTCTGGAACCTGAACTGCATATTTCACAACACAGCAGGCCCAATTCTGCTCTCAGATAGGCATGCATAACTCTCATTGAATTCCCTGAAACTGAGAGCAGATTTGAATAACCAGTCTGCAGCAAGCTAAACCACCATATCTGCTTCAGGGAAAAAACAGATTAAAAATTAATTGACCCCAAAAGAATTTTGTGCAACAAATTTAAGACACAGATTTTTATGCACAAGTCCCAGCCAATGAGAATGAAAAAGGGTAATATTTCACAAGCTGTAACAGGAACATATACACTATACCATGCTTAGTAAGTAGAGAGCTTAATTTGGGAAGAAGGCCATCCTTCCATCGTCTTTCTAAACCCCCCAAAAATTTGAAGGTAAAGCCTCACTGTTCAGAAAATGATTATTACTCATGCAATATGTTGAGGCCCCAGTTCAATCCACAATAGCAAAGACATTAAATTGAAGGTTGAAACTTAAGTTGATCCCTTTGGATACACACTGAAAACATACTGTAAGGGAAGGCATTGTGGAATTCCATGTTTATTGTCCATCACAGATTCTGTGCTCAGTATACAATTAAAAAAAAAAAGTTTTTCTAATTGTCAGCCTTGAAAACTCAACCTGGGCTCTAGATTTCTCATGCCATTATCACTAATAAGGATTTGCAGACCAAATTAGACCTTTTGTTACACTTGTGAATCCTCATAGTCTTCAAATTATGCCCCACATGACACCTGGGTAAACCCGTTGCTCTTTGTAAGTTTCCAAAGCTGTAACTGACTGGGATTTAATAAACAGTTCTGTTGATGATGCACAAGACTAGCCTAGAGTCCAGATTTTTAGGGCCCGGATTCACAAAGGGACTTAGGCATTATAACACGAAACTTTTAGGCACGTAGAAAAATCACAGGAACAACACTGTGATCCACACAGCCGAGTCAGGCGCCCAGGCTTCCTATACAATGAATGGAGAGAGATGGGCACCTTAGGATGCAACCAAAAGTCAGCACACAAGACTGGGAGCCGCCTAAGCTAGTCAATGGGAGATGCTGACAGCCAGGGTGTTGCAAAGCCAAGCCCCTCTCTCAGAGACTAGAACTTAGAGACAGGGTGCAGGGAGGCGCCTATCTCTGGTTAGCATTCTACAAACAGGAATCTGCCACCTGCAGGCTTACGTGCCGAACATAGGCACTGACTCCATGGGTGCTCCGGGGCTGGAGCACCCTCGGGGAAAAATGGGTGGGTGCTCAGCACCTACCGGCAGCTCCCCGCCGAGCTCACCTCCGCTCCGCCTCCTCCCCTGAGCGTGCCGCGTGCCTGCTTTTTCCGCTTAGCTCCCAGCGCTTGCGCCACGAAACAGCTGTTTCGCGTGGCTGGGAGGAAGGGGGGGAGGAGGGAGAACACGGCACTCTCAGGCAAGAGGCGGGGCCGGGGCGGGGATTTGGGGAAGGGGTCCAATGGATCAGGGAGGGGATGGAGTTGGGGAGGGGACTTTGGGGAAGGGGTTGGAATGGGGGCGGGGCAGGGAAACGGTGGAGTTGGGGCGGGGCCGGCGGTGGGGGGTGCGAGCACCCACCGGTGCCGGAGAAAGTTGGCGCCTATGGTGCCGAAGACATTTCTTTCAAGATGGAATGAGTTAGATGCCTGCGTCCCTCCACATGAAATGGCAGAGGAGGAGGGGGGTGCCCACCTTATAACTTTTAGAGACTCAGTTCCCCTCTTTGCTGATGGGCGAGAAAGAATTTGAACAGGGGTCTCCCACACCTCTCAGAAGCAGGGCTCTAACCACTGGGTGATGGGATATTCTGATGTGGGCTTCTCTCCGTGTCTCCTGTTGAAGCTGTTCCACTGTGGATAAATAATGAAAGAATGATTGGGGCAGGGGATCCTGGGTCTCCCACCTCCCAGGTGGGTGCCATAACCACTGGGCTACAGAGTCATTCCCTCTTTAGCTCTCTTTGACCCAGTGACTGTGGATAAAAACAGTCACTGGGCCAAAAAGAGATGTCGCCCACATCCCAGGAAATGTTCTAACCACTGGACTACAAGTTTTAAGGTGAGCACCACCACTTCCTCCTCCAGCCAGATTCTGAATGGGACCCAATCCAGTAGGCAGCCTTTGAGCATGTCTACCCCCATTCATGAATTGCTCTGGGGCTTAGGCAGCAGATAGGCACCCGGTCGCCTAGAGCAAGGCAGCAGTGCTCATGCCCAAATGCAGGAACATAGGCATTGAGTGAACTTTTATTTCCCCTAAAATGTAAGCACTGAGTGAGTTTAAATACCTAGAGATGGCAAAGTTTGCACATGATACAAAATTACTCAAGACAGTTAACTCCAAAGCTGACTGTGAAGAGTTACAAAGGGATCTCACTAAACTATGTGATTGGTGACAAAATGGCAGATGAAATTCATTGTTGATAAATGCAAAGTAATGTACACTGGAAAAAAATTCCCAACTATACACACAAAATTACTGGGTCTTCATTAGCTGTTACCACTCAAGAAAAAGCTCTTGGAGTCTTCGTGGTTAGTTCCTTGAAAACATCCACTCAGTGTGCAGGGGCACTCAAAAAAGCTAACAGAATGTTAGGAACCATTAGGAAAGGGATAGATAATAAGACAGAAAATATCATAAGGCCAGTATATAAATCCATGGGATCCCCATGCTTTGAATACTATGTGCAGTTCTGGTTGCCCCATCTAAAAATATATATATATTAGAATTGGAAAATGTACAGAGAAGGGCAACATAAACGATTAGGGGGAGGGAACAGCTTTTACATAAAAAGAGATTAACAGGATTGGAGCTGTTCATCATAGAAAAAGAGATGACTGAGGGATAAAATCATGAATGGTGTGGAGAAAGTGAATAGGGAAACATTATTTTATCCCTTCAAATAACACAAGAACTAGGGGTCACCTGACAAAATTAACAGGCAGTAGGTTTAAAACAAACATAAGGAGGTACTTCTTCACTCAACACAGTGTCAACCCATGGAACCTGTTACCATGGAGATGATGTGAAGGCCAAAAGTATACCTGAGTTCAAAAAAGAGTTAGATAAGTTCATGGAGGATAGGTCCATCAATGACTATTAGCCAAAATGGTCAGGCATGCAATCTCATGTTCTGGGTGTCCCTAAATCTCCAACTGCCAAAAGCATCTGGCATTGGTCACTGTGAGAAGATAGGTTACTGGGCTAGATGGACCACTGATCTGACCCAATATGGCCATTCTTATGTTCTTAATTTTACACATTCATGGTTGCAGGCTGGATTAAGGCTATCTGAAAATTTGGCTTCAACTACAGTTTAACTTTAGGACCTGCAGTATGTAATTACAATTAGATATTGCTAACTAAATGCAATTAGAAGCTATATCTTCAAGTTTCAATGTGAAAATAAGTAAACTGCAGAGAGAAAATGCCACACTGGCAAGTACTATTAACATGCATGTGAAGAGATGCATTGCAGAACTCAAAGTGAGAAACTGAAATGTGATTATATATTATATAAAAAACCCACTCCTTTCCTGCACCTGCATGCAGTGCTAATGCCTCCCCCACACTGTGCTGCTTAAATGTGCTCAGAACTAGAGCAGAGGGAGAAATAGGAAACTACATGCTGAGATAATAAAAGAGGAATGGGGAGAAATGGATACTCAGTAAAGATAGATTGGTAGTGACAGAGCAGGGAAGGGTACTAAGAGATTGAACAGAAGATCAAGGACAAGGAGGATGAAAAAACAACAAGGTGAAAGCATGGTGACAGGAACTTTAATAAAGAAATTGTGATTAAGTTTCTTCGTCCTATTTTGGGATAGGACAGGAAGAAAATTTCAGCATTACAAATATCACCGTTCCCTTTGGAAGCAATACAGTAAGAGTCTGTCAACCACCCTTCACACAGTCTGAAGCATGCATCAAATCTGTGTGCATAATTTCATGAGTCATATTTGTCACCTATTCTATATTACCATAGTTTGTTTGCATACATTGTCTTCAGCTCTAGTAACTGCCTTAGGATGCATGGCCTCTTCAGAGAGAGAAAAAAAAAAAAGAGTCCAGACCCCAAAATTGTTCACACACATTTTGCATGTGTAGCTGTTACTATAGTTATGAAGAAACTATTTAAAATTCTGGGCCTAAAGGGTTTTGTGAACTTATTTAATTAATAAATAATAGTTTTTCAAAGTGTTGCAGACACTTCCAGCCCTGAACATAATCCTCTGGATGGAACCTGCTGTCTCTGTAAGGAAGCTGAGTTAATGGGAAATTTGTTTGCAATGAGTTTACATAGAGTGGGAGTTGCAAGACTAAATCCTTCCTCTGTGACACACAAGTTTACTTTAAACGTTGTTAAACAGTAAAGTAATTCTGCATTTCATACTCCTCCCCAGCCCCAAATCCATGCAGCTAAATCATAACTCAATTTCTATTGTATTTATAACTCTTAAGGTTTGCTAGCAAACAACTAGGGAAATCAACTTCTTTAATAACATCATTAATATTAAAGTTATACTTCTATAAGTACAGTATTCATCAGCTACAAGTTTAGATGGTTCATTCAGAACACCATTCTAACACCATATCCCTGTCCATACATGGTCATCCAAACATCTACGATGCTTTTTCTAGATAATTACACTTTCTTTTCATGACTTACCTATGTTTTTCTAGTTCGTTGTGTGATGACCTATTAAAAATAGAAAAAAAATTTTTTAGAATGATGAGTACTGGATTTTAGAATAGCTAAAAATGTTACCTATATGGCTTTCAAAAAAGATGTTAAAAGCCTGCAATTTAAAACATATTATAAACAAAACTAAAGCCTAGACTTCACATGGATTTTAATGCAATATATGTTTTAAATTGGTTGCTTTTAACATAGCTTTTGAAAGTCTTCAAGATGTCAACATCTTTTAGTTGTTTCCCTAGAATATCTAACTACAGCATTTGCATGGGTAAATCTTTTTGCACAGACAGACTACAATTTGTACAGAAAAGTTTATTAAAGGGTCTTCAGGCACGAAGCACAAATCTGCCTCTTAATTTGACCCAAGTGGTAAGAGAAACAAACCACACAACATTTTCAGCCATGGAGAAAAGGAAAAAAAGATCAAACAAACAAAAAACAGTTGCAAGATCCAGTTGGTAAAAGATAAGAACTGTAAGAATGGGAGGGAGGAAATCCCAAAAGAAGAGATTCAAAACTTAGTTTCTGGGAGACTCTGAGGGAAGCAGGAAAAAAAAGAAAAATAAGATCGATCACCATTTAACAGCTGCGGTAATTGTGAATATCAGTCTTAATGCAGAAAAGATGCATCTTTTCTTTTACTAAACCTATCTACGGATCAGAAACCTAGAACTTTAAAAAAAATAAAAATAAAAACTTCCTAGAAATTAGGACTATTTTCCTATTGTAGAAAAATTGAACCTACCATTGAAAACTCTGTTAAAAAAAAACAGATTCAGACAGAAACAATAATTATATTTATACAACTGAAATTAAAAACATTTCTCAGATGAAATGATTGTCACTGTTACAAAACCAGTCATTTCCTGGACCAGTAGTTCTAGTTCTCTCAGAATGGAAACAGATTTTTATTATTCCAGTATGTGAAGATCATGAATATGAAGGCAGCAGCAGCTTTTATGGCGTAACACATTACAGCATCAAGATCCATGCAAGCAGATTTTGTTGAATCAGTTTTCCAACAGTACGTTAGAAACCCAACCAGCTTCTGTGCACTACGTGCTGACAGAGGTTGCTTTGTTCATGCCTTAGGTGTAAAGAGCACAGTCCATTCTAAGACATGTGTAGTTACCAGGTGCAGCACAGGGCCATCGATCGTTCCCTACAGAAGCATGTAGCTGGCTCTTAAGCAAACCGCCCACATAGATGTTGCAGCATATTTGAAATTTCTTATTGATGTGAACACTGCAACCAATGTACCCATCTGGCTGCACAGGGAAAACAAAGCGAGGATCACGTATAATCACTAGGGCCCTACCAAATTCATGGCCATGAAAAACGCGTCACGGACCGTGAAATCTGGTCTCCCTCCATGAAATCTAGTTTTTTGTATGCTTTTACCCTGTACTATACAGATTTCACAGGGGAGTCCACTGTTTCTCAAATTGGGGCTACTCACCCAAAAGGGAATTGCGGGGGTGGGGAGTGTCGCAGTATTGCCATCCTTAATCTGCACTGCCTTTAGAGCTGGGTGGTCGGAAAGTGGCGGCTGTTGGCCGGGCATCCAGCTCTGAAGGCGGCGCCCTGCCAGCAGCAGTCCAGAAGTAAGGGTGATAATACCATATCATGCCACCCTTACTTCTGCGCTGCAGCCTTCAGAGCTGAGTGGCCAGAGAGTGGTGGCTGCTGACTGAGGGCCCAGCTCTGCACACAGCAGCGCAGAAGAAAGGGTGGTAATACCATCCCATCCCATCCTTGCTTCTGTGCTGCTGCTGACCACGGCTCTGCCTTCAGAGCTGGGCTCCAAGCCATCAGCCGCTGCTTTCCAGCTGCCCAGCTCTGAAGGCAGCGCCGCCGCCAGCAGCAGCGCAGAAGTAAGGGTAGTAATACCGCAACTCCCCCTACAATAGCCTTGCAACACCCCCCACACACACAACTCCTTTTTGGGTCAGGACCCCTACAATTACAACACTGTGAAATTTTAGATTTAAGTAGCTGAAATCATAGATTTTTAAAAATCCTATAACCATGACATTGACCAAAAGGGACCGTGAATTTGGTAGTGTCCCAGTAATCACTGATGATCAGACCCTAAAATGTTTTTTTCCTGGTCCAAGTCTACCCACTATGGCCCTGATCCTGCAAATATTTATGCACTGACTTAAATGGGACTACTCACATAAGGGTCGGAACATGTGTAAACTTTTGAAGGATCAGGGTCTCTGAGCCCAATCCAGGCTTCCGTGGAAACCTCCCCATTGATTTTAGTGAGAGTTGAACAGGTCATGTATGCGTTGGTATCTTGTTTAAAAAACATTTTTTCTTTATATTTTAAATCTTAAACTAAATGCACCATATCATAAATAGAGCAACACAATGGGAATACATATACACATTATTTCCTGCTCAAAATAATCATGTGAAAACCATTTAAACATAATCAGAGCAACAGTGGTAGGCCAAAAATGTGATCTGCCTTTTTATCAGTTTATCACATAAGATTATATAGTTGTGTTACATACACAAACCCCCAAAACAAAGACAGAATTCCTTTATTCTCTAAGCTTGTTCAAGTTCTAGCTGCTGGTTTCTCACTGCAAGCATTTTCGCTGAGTCTGCTTCCTTATCACTGGCAATTAACAGATTTTTCAGTTCCTGCTTTGGGGACTTTTTCGTAAAAGACAACCCCCCACCCACCCCAGCCCAGCCCACCCCGTGAGCACAATTCTTCCAGGCTTTTTCTGTCAGGATCTTGATCACAGGTCACTCACTGTAACTGATTTTTAACCCTTAAACTCTCCAATATCAAAATTAATTTTTGACATGCATGTGGGTTCTGATCCAATAACCCAATTAACCTGTGGTAATGTGTATCCAAGCATGACTATGCCACTGTGACCGGGGTCCTAGCGGGGAGCCAGCTGTGGTCACTCAATTAGGGTGAACTGCAAAGAATGGGGCAGCCAAACCCCAAAAAGCTGGTGGATATTCCAATATTTAGATATACCCAGCGAGCATAAAACAGCTTCTTTATCACCTTACTGGTTACTCAGAAGTCCAAACAACACAGTTCCCTTAAAGTGATCCAGCCTAAGGCCTCCATCCAGGTACCTAAGTTAAATATGATGATTTCTGAAAATCTTATTGCATCACATAAAAGAAAAGGTTCTACCAATCCCAAAGGATCGAACACATTATCTCCCAGGTTATTGAATATTTCAGATCTTACCCAAATACATACTACAGCCAATTCTTATTAACTAAGCTAAAATATATTAAAAAACAAAAGAGAGGGTATGGTTAAAAGATCAATATACATACAGACATGAGTTCAATTCATTGAGGTTCAGATTCATAGCATAGATGGTGAGCACTGTAGTTGCAAAGAGTTCTTTCAGAAACAGTTCATAGGTTATAGTCCAATATCCAAATATAATATTCAGGGTGTACCAGCATAACCGAGACCTCAGTCCTGAGACTCAAACTTCCCCTGATGAAGCCTAAGCAGATCTGAGAGAACAGAATCAGGACCCAAGGATCTTTAATACAATTTCATGTCTTTTGACAAATTGGAGTTCAAAAGATAATTAGCATGCCTTTGAAGGAGGTCCATCACTGGTACTTAGCATAAGGCAATTTGCTTGTTTCTCCACCATTCACAGTACATGTCAAAGAGAGATGAATGCCGAGATATCCAGTGCTTACAATTCATTTACATGCTAGGATGTTCTTTTGCCCTCTGAATTATCAGAATACAGCATAGACAGGGACTGTTGATTACATTGTGGACCCTACATATGTAAATACACAAAAACACAAACATTATTTCTCCGCATATTTTTTGAGAGTTATTTATTTTGCAGGATGTTTAACCCTTTCTAGCCATGCGTCACACCCCCAACGTGAGACTGGGGTGGAAGGGAGCAAATAGAGCTTCTGGATACACCTTAAAGACCTGTAGCACTCCTTGGCTTGAAGTAGTAATAACAACCAAATACCTGGTTTCTACTTTCAGCACCCCTACTATAAAAATTGTTATAGCACCCCTGCTAGTGGTTTAGGCATTGAAGAAATCTGAGATCTGACACACAACCTGCCAGTTTCCCAGCTGTAAAATGGGAGTTATTAATAGTTCTATAATACCTACCTCCCCACACAATGAGGGCTCATCAGGAAAGGTTGTACAGTTCTTTGAGAGGATAAAGCTCTCTATAAGTAATTACTATTTTTCACTCCTTCAGTTCTGTGAAGCACAGAGCACTGCCCCAGGGAGAACCAATATTTCTGCCACCCCTCATCCTGTATCCTCTGCTTTCCACAGATCCCAGAGGGCAGACGGGAAGAAATCTAAGGGCAGATTTACAAACATACTTGCACCAAAATAACTACAGTGATTTTAATCCGTATCTTTTGTTATTTCAGCACAAAACTGTGTGTGGACCAGCCATAAGCAGAGGAGGAATAGAAGGGACTGGGTAGTGGAATGTTTGCCACAAACATTTCCTAAGGAGAAAGAAGAGAGTCCAGATACACAGAACCTCTGGCTACTTTGTGCCACTAGCTGCAAAGCAGCTGTTGCAAATAGTAATGGCTACTATCTAGTTGTGACAGCATTAGCATTCATTATCTAGTACCAAGTAGTTAAATGGTGATTAACCAGGTGTGAAATTCTAAGCTCTGATTCTTTTAAAATGCAAAATGATCAAATAAGGATTAAGGGGCATGTTTTCTTCTATAGTTGGAGTCAGGGATGGCAGCACCTAAAGAGTCTCTAGCCAAGTAATTCTAGATTATGGCATTTATATGCTCTGATTGTAATATTTCAAAAACCAGCAGAGTTTCTTAATAGTGAAGACAAAAGCTCTTTCCCCTCCACATCTTTATTCCTTTTTTTTTTTTTAAATACCCCTAGGAAGTTATCTTTCAGATATCATGTTAGTGCAATTAAGACTACATGTTAAAATGCTCAGATGTAAAGAAATATCAAAATTAAGGTTAAA